TATATACAAAAAATCAGTAGCGCTACAACCTCTAGTCTTGGCCTCAGATTTCTGAATCTGTTTCATGACCATTTTTAAATCTAATAGGCAAGTTGGTGATCAGCCTCCAGTGCCTGACACACGCCATCGACTTTTTGGGTCTAAGACATGTAGGTTTTCTCGCGATGTTTTCCTTCACCGTGCGAATGTAGCACATACAAAGAAAGTTCATTGGTGCACAGCCGGGGATCGAACCTACGACCTTAGGTATGCGAGTCGCACGCTGAAGCCACTAGGCCAACACTGCTCTAAAAACATACATAAGACGCGAAAGTATTTATTTTTAGTAGAAAAAAACGATTTCTCGATATCATTGAGAATGCCCATGGGCACTTGCACAGGTGAGCTTCCTGCCCGTTTGCCCACTGTTCTATAAAACCTGACCAAGCCCTAAGTTATTTAAGATTTAATAGTTCAGTCCAGTCATCCTAAACACCTTTTATTAGCCTTTACAAGAAACCTTAATGCAAACTGTCATTCAAATTGCAATATTCAGATAGCAATCTCGATTTAAGGCGTGGTTCGATATGTCCAGTCATTGCGCCTGCGCAATTAAGATTCAGCCCTTTGTACCTATACTTGGCTTTAATATTTTCCTGGTGAATTTGTGGTACTGTATTAATAAGGACGTATTTATTTCGTAATCCTACAGCTAACATACATTATACATATTTAACAAAAAACATACAATATACAAAAAGGTTCAAACATTTACGATAGGAAAAAAATATTTAATACATTTGACTTAGTAATACCAATTCGGCTGTGTTGTGTTGTGTGATGGTGTGTCAGGGTATGTACGGGAGGGTGTATATGTGGAGTGGAGAGATGCAGGTCTCAGATATTTTAGGCCGGCAACGCACTCGCGAGCCCTCTGGCATTGAGAGTGTCCATGGGCGGCGGTATCACTTAACATCAGGTGAGCCTCCTGCCGGTTTAACCCCCGTTCTTTAAAAAAAAAAAAATTTCTTAATAACCTTTTGAGTATAGTATGGCTCCATATTCCGAGGTCAGAAAAGGTCCAAAAGGAGAGAGTAGATGCTTTTGTCTCACTCTTTTAGCGAAATCAAATATATGATATTTTAATACATTTCTGAGAATCGACACGAATTTAAAATAAAATCCACAACTATTCAAGTGGTGGCCTAAGTCAACATAATACATTCCAACCAATGACGGAAATAGGGTTGGGGTATGCTATCGATACCTGGTTTATTCAATATATTTAAGAAGGATTTACCGCAGTAGAATGCCAGTAATCCCAGAATTAGCTAGGTCAAAATAGGCTAACAAAGATCTTGTATCTTTTTGCGGAGTAGATATTTCTACTTTGAATTAAAAAAACACCCACAGCCCTCATATTTCGGTTTTTCTCAGTAGGCAAGATCAGCCTTCTGTGCCTGAAATCCGCCGTCGACTTTTTGTCTCTAATCATCCCCGCGATGTTTTTCTGCACAGTACGAGACAATCCATTGGTGCACAGATTCGAGCCTACATCACGGATGAGACTAGCACGCTGTAGCTACAGGCCAACGGCTCTATTAAAGGGATTTCTTGCAGAATCAAGTCAATGAAGTTTTAGACTTTCGTTTTTTGCATCAGGAATTCCTTATTACAATTCTTTAAAAAGCTTTGAACACAACTGTCTCTATACATACATAATATATAAAGTAAGTAGTATGTAAGTGTAACATACTTGTCTTGTCATGTCTTTCTCACCTCCACTTAAATTGTATTTTATAAAGTGTTATGTTATTTTGTAGTATAGGTATATAAACAAATATCTATTTCTTCCGTCCTTCGTTCAACAGATTGAAAATCAAAATCAAATTTCCAAATCACAGTATAATATGCCGGAAATAATTCGGTACTGTTAATACTGATGCGCAGACGCAGTCTCTAATTATTCTAGTCCAAATTTGGATCACACAAATCGCTAAGTCATACCAAACAGTAGTGGAGTTGAGCGACTGTCAAAAATGACAGTTGAGGGTGGACACGTACTAATTTAAATACATATGTATAATTTCTAATTAAATCATTTATGGAGAGAAATTCTGTTAGAATAACTAAACAGGCATACCGTCTTATGACTATCTCTTTTCATCACTTTAAACACAAGCTGACAGAAAGAGACGAAAGAGTGATTTCATTAAAATGGTTTAAGAAGACTTATTTAGTTTTAACTAAAGAAGTTAGTGCCACCTTAACACTAATTATAACGAATTTATGAAATATCAAGAGAATTCCTTTCCACGCCCACATATATATATCGCAGAGCCGTGGTCGGAGGTTAAATTTTACGGTTATCGTGTCCTGGTTCAAAATCATAAGAACGTATACTTCTTACCGTAAACTCCGGAATGTTTACACCAAATTCTTTAAGTACTATATATATCTTGCTATTAATATGAGATATATGACAACTAACTATCTATTGACGTCTTGTGGGGTGGTGAGAAATCCAAGTGTACTCGAAGAACTCGGTTTTGTTTGTACCTGAGGATAAGTGCGACGGCGAAGTGGCCTTCGCCGTCGTCGGTTGTTTGCGATACCAAACAGAACCAGTTGCATAGATCTCAGTTAAAAACGTTGCGCCTGCTGAAAGCTGTCTCCGACACTATGGACATCTTTATATGTTCGCAGAGTGAGTTCAGAGTACCGATATTGTGTCCCTTATGTATTTAATTATATTTTAATTTTGACATTATCGTATTGGCTAATAGTACTGTAAGAATTGTGCATGTATTTTTGAGAATTATTAATCTATAATTTTAGGCATATTTATATGTTTAATACATACAAGTACTACACACAATATGAAGTTTACTGCAAATGAGCGATTCTATTTCCGCGTCCAAGTCCATACAATCAGTTTTTATCGATACACTGTAACATCACTAGTTATTAGCTACCGTATTCAAAAACACGTTGAAATTTCCTCTAAAATAAACAAGCAATGACAGGTGCTTGACTGTGCTTAACTGGACATTTAGTTTAACACGTAAACTTATGTGTATAATAATAAATCGTTTAATTGCAAAGAAAGTGGTACATTCAGATTAATTAATTATAAAAAATCCCGCACAATCAGCCATATATAGGCAAATGTTATATTAATTATCATAATGTCAAAATAAGAAGAACAGTTTATTAAAATTTAATGCCTTTAAAATTGAATCAACTTCGCCTTGATAGCGTAATATACGAAATAGGTAGAAACCCGGAGCAGACAATTTTCTGTGCTTGTTTTATTAATACTTACTATTAAAGATCTCTTACTTTACTATTTACCTTTTCAGCTTTAAGAAAAACCACTCAAGCAAATAGAAGTTACAATAAAAATATATAAACTAAAGTGGAAATGGGCGGGGCACATGGCAAGAGGAACAGAATAAGTACTAAACTGGTGCCTAACTTGGTGGATAGACCACAATTAAAGAAACAGCAGGTGGTACATGGCTGAGAGTGGCACAGTGCAGAGAGGAATGGCGGGATTTGGAGGAGGCGTTTGACAAACAAGGGCACACACCTATTAGTATATAAAAACGACTCTAACTCAAAAACTACCGCACGCAATTAATGCGGTTTTCACCAATATGTAGAATGCTTCTTGAGGAAGGTAGTATATAAATTTTCAAAGCTAAACATGATTGCCCTTGCGCAGCCGGGGCAGAACTCCGGGGGCGGGTTTCTAGTAAAATAAACTTTAGCGCCGTCGTTAGGTTAGTCATATATACTGTTCTTTAGATGCAATGTTGTACTTCGCTTTATAAAGTAAATAGCTAAATAGGTCTCAGTTTGATTTTTGTATAGATCGATACCTTGTGAAGGCAAATCAAGGAAATTTCAAGAACTTTGAAGCTACAACGTGTTTACGTGTATGAATCTGACTACAAATTAACGCATATGAAATTTGGACGATGAGCTTTTTAAACCTTTACAACACTTTTTCTTGAAATCTTCTAAAGATAACTGCGCAGATAAATCTAATCATAGATTCAACTAAATTCCCAATACCCAAAGCGAAATTTCAAAAATTTGACATTTAACATCAAGCGATTCCACCTGTCATTTTGACACAGACCCCCGCAACAGGCGCATGTTTACAGATAATTTTTCATCTATTAACAATCGGAATTTTGTCGGCAACACCGAAAAATTTCAAAAACCGATTAAAAAACCATAATGATTAATGATAACATGTCGCACGGGGCAGAGATACCACACACGGCGTTTAAAGAGTTATTGCGTGGGATTATGTGTTCTTTGTTTTAGATAATAAGATTTAAATTCAATTAAGAGCTTAAATGTCGCGTAGTTTATTGATTCAATATCGCATGATGTAATCTAGACAAATTGTTCGTGTTTTGTTTGTATTTTTTTCTTCCTAATAGCTACTACTAACTAGTAATTTTATGGACTAAGTTTAGTTATAAGCACATATACTAACAGCATATGAAATGGAAATTAAGATTTATCATTCAATCAAATACTTTAATCAATACTTGATCCACAGATCATAGTCTCTTGAATTAACGTCAAAATTACTTAAATTTATGCCTAACAAATATATAGTTTAGTAATAATAATTTATTTGCAAGAATATAGTACAAAAGTATTGTGGTGATACAATCTAAACTTCGCCACTGCAATACATAATGGCATCCAAACTTGTCTTACATTATTAATAGATAGAATTTTAAATAGTTTATTATTATTTTATCCCTACATCACGCATCAAATTTTGGTCCCTGTGGCAGTGTACCTACCGTTAATGCTGGAATTTCCTTGATGTATTGTGATACTTATTCGTTAACATATTATTATTAGATTATCAAATAAATATTAATTATTTCAAAAACAAATTAATTATTTTCTTTATTGAGAACTATAAAAGAAATCCTCCTTGTCCAAATGAAATTAATTTATCCTTGTGCTGTATATATAAATATGCATTATTATAAACATACCTGGTTATGATAATGTGCGAGTGGGTGATGCGGCATGTGCCGCATCGCCGGATGCAACATCTCGCCCCCTCCACTGCTACTCCCTTCTACCGCCTACAGACCAAATTATCTTATAAAATTCGTTAAATTTAAATAAATTAATTACTTGAAATAATTTATATAAGTAATTGCATCAGAATTATCGGTGAAAAACGTAAATCTTCCAATTATAAATTTCGAAAGTAATACCCAGCGACGTTCCATGGGAAAATTATAGCTATTGAATTAATCTTGTAATTAGAAAATTATACAGTCCGATTGCAAGTATGGGAAAGTCCGAGGTAACAGCTGTTAACCTAAGTTAAAAAATATTAAAACTGAAATATCAATTGTTTAATATATAACTGTCTCTATAAACTTGTCATACACAATACTCTATAGTTTATAGTTCACGTAGCATGGTAAACTGTAGGCTTTAACACATTGTATGTATGTAACATGTAACAACACGGAACCTTTAACTTGTATCATCATTCGTATCCGACACACCACTTGCTAACAATTCCATACTAAACCAACATATTGCTTACATCGAAAACCTTCTTCAGCAATCTTCACGCAGGCAATTAGGAAATAAAGAACATACCTCAGGCTGTTCATCCTTGGTCTCAGCTTCGTCACCAAGTTCAACCAGCTGCAGAGCCTCCTCCAGAAGATCGAATCGGGACTCCTCAGTGCTTACAAGGTCTCCAGGAAGATCGCCTTGTATCACGTATTCACCTGGAAAAGAATTAACACTAAATTAACAAATCAAGCTTTTATTTATTAAATCACAATTTTCAATCTAATATTCTAAAGTATGTCATTGTTATAGTCGACTCTCGATATAATCTTTATTTACCAAGAGTTCAAAATAACAAGCGTTAAATAACCATAAGGAGTCAAGTAAATAAGAGTTTGATCAAAATTCGTGATTTATTATTTCTATATCATTAAATACAATATTACAATTATTAACAAATACTTATTTCGAAAAGTCCGTAATCCTTTTTTGAACAAATGCAGTCTATCATTGTCAAAATATATTTAGAAGACAATTGACCGGTCTGTGCATGATAAACACTTCAAATTATCTCATGTTGGCAAGCAAGATGATATTCCTTTAACTTAAAATTACCGATGGGATCTATTCACATTAAATTTATTCGATTTATCGATTTCTTTTAAATATCGAGTACTTAATTCAATATACTTATTCGCAGAGTACCTGATACCTATATCTGATAGTTTTTTTTATTTATCAGAAATTAAGTTTGATATTGTATTATTTATCTGAAAAACCACCTTATAATCGACATCTATACATACAGTTTAGCAAAGTTCCAGTGTTATTTTATATTTTAGACGTATTGTTAAAAATGCCAAAATTATACCGAACAATTCTTAAACGTGGACCACTATAGACAAAAGACCTTCGAGACAAATCTTTTTTCAGAAGCTAACTGTTAAACAAAAAATGTGATAATCTGTTTAACATGAATGGGTATTAGGGACCCGGGAACTGGCCGTAACTAATTACAACGGTGGCGTAGGGTTAACCATAAATCATAATACTGAGTGACAATTCAAAGAGTTTTTGTTTATGGTCTTATAAATTCATGAATATATTGAGCGGCACGTGAAGTGTACGGACTGTCATTTGTATGACGATAGACTGTAGCTGTGGGATAAAACCCAGAGAAAGAATTGTTTTGGAGTGATAGGCGAAGGTTTTAATATTTTTTTTTTTAATTTAAACGACTTTTTTTACGATCAAAACGCTGAATTACGATGACGGCAATGTGAGGGTACCCTCAAAATAACTTTGTTCATATAGGTAAACAAGTTATGAATGTCAGAAAAGAAGTTAAATTAATTCTAAATTTACATTTACTACCAGTTCGCAAAGGGCGTAGAGCGGGTAAGAAGAAATGACAAGAAACTTTCCGCCACTCTTTTTAATCGTTAAGTTTTGAGTCATACAAATTGTATGAAATGGAGCAAATCAATCCCAAGGATTAGGATCATTTAAATATTCGTAAAATTTATAAAAAGCTTTATTTATTAATTTACTTTTAACGAGAGCTTTGAATTCATTTAGTAAAACTAATTTCACTTGTAAAAACGAATACAATTTCCATATAAGGAGTGGTTTATCTTTTGGAGCCTGGTTGGTCGTATACTCAAATTAGTTCTATTTCGCGTATTATACTGGTGAAAGTCACTATTTGTTTTAAAATCGTTTATATTTTTTTGTACATACAACATGGCTTAAAGAATAAATTGACCTACATCTATCAAACATAAGATTATTATATATAGAATTTTAAATTTAAATAGAAAAAAAATTGTGTGTGTTTCTGGCGTTCGATTCTTATTCTTGAGGTCATAAATTCGATCCCTGGCTGTGACTTTCTACCTATGTAAATGAAAATATCGTAAGGAAACTGTTACACCCAAAAACTGAACTGCGTCACAAAAGACTATAAGAAAACGGAGTGATTACGAAACTTACGGAAATATTTGGCCTAAGAAGTTGTAGCGCGTGACTTTTTTTATATTTTTGTTCTTAAGTTGCAAAGCATATGTATTTTGACAAATAAACCTAGTAACAACGGTTGATTGATTAGACTTTGACGTTTTTAGCGCTCTGACATATGGCAATGACAGCTGAAAGCTACGCTATTGCCGACATATATTATTATTAAACGGACAGAACAATAATTGCAATCATTTAATGTTTTGTTTTTAAACTTTTAATTAGTAAATTAATTAAGAAACTCTTATTATAATAAAATTGAATTTAATAGTTATGTCTAGTCTACGCCTGGATATTCTAAATCTGATAAGTTTGAACTACTGGCGCCATTTCAAAAAACCTTATCACAAGAATCTTGGAATTAACACTTTAAACGTCCCGTATTGTAACAATTAGGTCATAAATGCGGTTTCACACTAATCCCCATTGAAAGGGTCTTTTCGGCCAATTGTCAACTTTTTGTCAAAACATAACGGTAGCTGAAGGGTTGACAGATTTATGACGTCGGTATTTGTTTTTATGAAGCACTAGCGGCCCGTCCCGGCTTCGGTTGGATATTTATTTTTTGAAACATTTCGGCACAATCGTACATATCTATATAATAATGTATTTAGCAATAGTGTATCGCTGGCTCCCTTTGTGTACGGGACAAAATGATAACATAATAAATGATGTCAAGGGGTAATTTTTAAAAACATTGCACTGAGGTTTAGAAAATATATCTTTATTTTTTCTTGCAATTAAAAAAGCGTATATTAATCAGTGATAATGTAGCATTCAAATTTTGAAAGAATTTTTAAAATCGGTCCAGTACTTTTTGACCTAATTCGTTAAAAACATACTTACATATCTTTCCTCTTTATAAGTAAACCGTAGATATTGGAAAACTTAACGTTTTTGAAAACAGAAAATTCGATATGAAATCTTCGTATAAAGGATGCAAATTGCTTCAAATGGGGCAATTTTTAACCACCCTTGTCACGTTACATTATCATCTATAGTTAATTTTTTTATTTAAAGAATGAAATAAAGGAAATTTTTTACTATACATAATAAAAATGACATTTAGTTAAAAACTCGGACTAGGATTTCCTGTGTCGTGAGCTAGTCTCTTCCATTTGATAATATTCGACATAACACAAGTAATGTAACTAACTAACTAACATTAGTTCAGTTAAATATTATATATATTTTAGTTAATAATTTTTGTTTTTTTTTTTGATTGGACATTCACACCAATTGACCTAGTCCCATGCTAAGCTGGTGAAGCTTGTGTTATGGGTACTAAGCAACGGATATACATACATATATATACATAGATAGATAGACATATAAATACATATTTAAACACCCAAGACCTAAGCACAACACCAAATGCTCATCACATCGATGTTTGTCTCAGCCGGGGATCGAACCCATGGATTCGCAGTCAGGGGTACTAACCACTAGACCAATGAGCCGTCAAAATTAATATAATTAGAAGCGTAAACAAAATATAAACAATCATCACACAGCCAAAATGAGCCCTTTAGTTTTTACCACACTCATAAATTGTATTTTAACATTCTCGTTTCCGATAATGTCCAAAAAGTCTACGCTTATATTGAATTGTCACTTAGATTTGAGAACTCTTCAATAAGTCAAGTTAGTTGTATTAAGGCAAAACGAAGTTCGCAGGGGCAGCTATAAAACGCAAAAGAAAGTTATAATATTAGTAAATAATTAACAATGCAAGGTTGCTAAAATTATTTAGATATTATTTATGCATTTTGACTACACAATACTGATGTAATAGCGCGTTTCGTCTTCGATAAAACATTTTATTTATTTCAGGTGATTTCTGCTTGTATCTAGTAATATAATATATTTGCGTGTTGTTCCCACGAGAATGGAAGTGCGTGCTCCTATTTCACCATGCCTCCTGCCGATAGAGGACAAATCTTTGTTTTTAATTTATTTTATTATTATTAATTACTTAAGATATCATGTGGAACATGGTGTAATGGTTGCAGCTCCTTACAAACATTTTGTACAACAAAAAACTTGACGATTAAAGAGTGGCGGAGAGTTTATTACTCTTCCGTTTTACGCCCTTTTGAGAACTGGCAGTAAATGTAAAATTAGAAGCATTTAATATGTATTTCTTTGACGTTCATAAGTGTACATTGTGTTACCTATATGAATAAATGATTTTGATTTATAAAATTGTATACCTGCTACGTTTATTCGTCGAATAAAACCGATGCCTTTAATTAGACATTCGAAATTCGAAACAGGATTTGTTGTTGATAACGTGTTCTGATTGGTCGAGCGTGAAGGACAGACCAATATGGCGCTCAAGCTATTTCGGGTACCGGACGGACCGTGTAATCAATTTTTAACCGCGTTTTTTGTAAAGGTTAAAGTATATACGTTGTAGATATCCTTATGTTGTTTGTTATTTTACGTAGGTACTAATATATATAAAAACTCTTCCTAAACGGCTGGACGGATTTTTTGTCTCTGGTTTCGAGAATGCATTAGTGTAGATGTGTTCTGTGTCTGTAGGGTTCGCTAATAAAACTCCTAATATTGGATTGGGATTGAAACTATGACCTCGGATGTGAGTAGCAAGCTGAAGCCACTATGCCAACACTGCTCTTTAGTTAGGTTATATGTAACTAAAACAAATGTTTATATATATTATACTGGGTTTCAGCAACAAAGGCTTAACAATAATAATAATTAAACAATACTTGAACAGCCATGACTTCACGAAGTCACTGCCAAGGTTACAACAGAATCATGCTCGATTGCCTACACAAATGCGAAAGTAACGATTTAACTTTTTATTTCTGTACCGATTTTATTGAGGAACGATTTTATCACGAAAAACTCAAAAACTTTGCCCAAATTATGCCAATCGAAGTCGCAGTTGCAGCAGAATTGTATAATTCGGAGGTTTCCGAGTTGGCAAGTTATCTATACTAATATTATAAAGAGGAAAGATTTGTATGTATTTAACGAATTGGCTCAAAAAGTACTGGACCGATTTTAAAATTACCATTTGAAAGCTACATTTTCACTGATTAATAGGCTATTTTGATTGGAGGAAAAAAATAAGGATCCCTATTAAAACTACAATAATGTTACCCAAGATGTAAAAAATGCCTATAAAATATCTTTCATCGCATGCGCTGCGAAAACTATTGATGATAGAACAAAAAAATGTTACACAATATTAAAGAACATATTATGAATATCTACAAAAAATGTTTAAAACTAAAGAATGTTTAATAAATTATATGTAAAAGTATCAAAAATTATACGTAACAATTAATATACATATGTGTAAGACTTCAGTATATAACTACAATTCGTAGGAGACAATATACAATTCATTTAATTGACAGTATGAGGGTCTCAATTGAGATGGATGTTTCTAGAACAGTTTATTAAAAGCCATTGGTAGGACAAATATAAATATGCTACGAGCGGACCACTCGGCTGTACTGGTTATAAATAAAATAAATAAAAAATATGTATATTATGGAATATAAGATACAGGTATCACTTATTCCACGTTATTGTATTGTGTAGGCCGAGAGAAAAATCCGGCGTAAAAAACTCTCGGTAGGTACTCTTTTAAAATAGCAATCATCAAACAACACTTATTTTAAAACCAATATCGCTAATATATAATTAGAAGTAGTCTAGCACTAGTCCCAGGCCCTTTTATCAACTCAGTAACAGTAATCGTTAACTTTAAAGTAAGCCTTTTTACAGAGCTTTTCTTTAATTTATTTCTTAAATTTATTAAAAGGCAGAGATAAAAGAGCCTCTGGGATTTTATTAAAGAAGAGTATATAGCTATCGATCCTACGGACGCCCAAAAAGGACAATCATTGGAGATCCATAATAGTGGGTTCGTGGCCGGCCTTGTGGGACTAAGCAGTTGGAGTCGATACCACAGTTGGAGATAGAATAATTTATTAATAACCTTCTTCACTACCGTAATCATTTTTGTAATAGTAATGAAAACTAATAAAATAAATTTTTATAAATCTTATGCGACCAGGGTGAGGCTTTTCGACCATACTGAAGTTATGGTAAGTTTTAAACAATCTCGTGGGACCAATAATAATAGCGATATATCATGATATATTTATACATTATACGATATAAAGGAAAACTACTACTATTGTAATACAGATAACATCGCGAATTCCCTAAGGACACAAACAGAGCGCGTATTTTGACATTTGATATGTCAAACTTGATTGATCGCTGTCGGTTGACATTAATCTGTTGTGATATTATCTATGGCTACGGCGCTATTTTCTTAAGGAAATACAGATAAGAACTCAGTTTTATATCTTTCTTGTGTTTATTTTTGGATTTCTATAAAATAATAGCTCCTTTGATTAGTAAAGCATGTTTTAGAATTTTATATAGCGAATATAACCTACTGGAAGAGCTATGAAAACTGAATATTTTCAGTTTCTACAATATTTTAAACTATTATAACTATATTTATATAATATGTTAACTATAACGCAAACCATTTTATAGTTATATTATAAAATATCTATGCAAAGTGAAAAGAGTACCGAGAATTTTTTACGTAATTATATGTGAAGACCATGCACCCGAATAAAAAAAATACTATACTAAAATAAAATAGATACATTTTATAAAAAAACAATGCAGCAGATAACATAATTATTATCTATATATATGGTGCTCACATATTCAATTAACATAGTTAGGTATATATAGTAACTTAGGTGCACTTTTATTTGAAGTGGCAAATCAATTAGGAGTTGATTAAAAATACCAATAAAAAACATTTTAAATTCATGTTATTATATGCAATATATCGAAACTAACTTTTTGACATCTGACATATTTCTAGAATGACACGAATCGTGACAGCGCATTCGAATTTCAAACCCATCCTATAACAACACTACCAATGACCTTTTCTAAAAAAAAACTCAAGCACCTCCCATACAAGTTTTTATCGGTAACAATGCTTTGGAATCTCTGGTAACTTTTAGTTTATTCTTTTTACTGTAACCTCCACGTTTAAACGTTATTATTAAAATATATGAATCACAATTCAGAAATTCATTCCGCTGTTCTAAAGTTTAAAAAAATACCATTCTACGTAATTCCTTAAAGTATAAAACGACGCTATCTGCCTGTCCTTTTCTTAAGTTTAAGAAACATAGAGACGGCGAATAGCGATATTAATCAGAGATAATACATATAAAACCTCTTTGAATACTACCTACTACTCACTATTAAAATGCTTATAAACTTTTTAACAGTATACAGGCGGTGGGAAACTATGCTTTAATGCAAGGCCGACCTCGGCCTAGGTAGCGCTGGCAGCTTTATTTCCTTATCTCCTGCAGCTAAATTTCAGTCTTTCCGAACCAATTCGACTTAGAGTCCATCAAGAAAAGAGCGTTTCAATTCTTAAAAGGCCGGCAACGCACTCGCGAGCTTTTGCATTATGAGAGGGCGGTATCACTTAACATCGTTGATGAGATGAGCCCGTTTGCCCCCCATTCTATACAAAAAGCTGAAAGCCGGCACAGGACTATATCCTCTATTCGGAGGCTGAGGCCAAGAGTATTTGTGGGTCTCAGAGCAAGCGGAATGAGTGACCTACGATTACTCATTTATATTTGAGGCGCAAATTGAATTACATTCATACAAAAGAGTTCAACGCGCTCCACTATTGTCTATGTCACTGTAGAATGATAACCTCGTATGTCAAAAACCATTTATTTTTTATTCTTAGACTCTTATGTCATTTAACTGGTATAATCATGAAGTAAGGACTTATTTATGTTATTAATAACCATTTAAAAGTATGGACAAAAATTATAATATTTTAACGAACAATATTTTAGCGAAATGATAATTTTTTTTCGTTTGCTGTAATGTTTAGTTCTCTAGACATACAGTTAATAGTTTCAAAGTTGCTTCCAAGCTGGGTCCAAACTTTCTTATAAATATGTATTAGGTCCTTACATATGATACATATGACGTTTGTATGGGAGGAACAAAGAGTTTTTTTTTTTCCAATAGAATATATTTAATTAATCAAAGTATGTACCATTGATATCAATACACTTTTGCCATCTTATGGTAGTTCATTGATCACTTTACTCAAAAAACCAACCTCTCAAAAGAGGAGGTAGTTATTTGATGTCAAAGTGGCCAGTAGGCAAAACGTCAATTTCATATTATGTCCTAATATTATGGGATAGTTTCATGATATTGTACTAATGCATTTTGATAAAATTATTAATGTTTAATAAACGTCAACTGACTGATACCGCCGCCCATGGGCACTGTCAATGACATTTCGTTTGTTGCGTGAATTATGACAACACAATAAATATATAATTAAGCTAGTTATAATTCAATTACACGAATTAAATCGTCAAAGTTAACTTAATCAAAACAATTACTAAAAGTTATTATATAATATAACGGCGGCAGTTGGTTGACTCCTTAAAATAACTGCGTAATTAACCAAACATTTTTTTAGTTATAAAAAATACAAGTATGAGGAAATGAATAACAAATTTATTGTTAAATGTATTTCGTTAAAAATGATTTTACGTGAAATTTAATTTGGCCAAAAATGGCACTGCTCATACGATATGAATATCAAGAATTAAAAAAAAACATACCAAAACCTCCTCAGTAAACAACACAAGCCACAAACACACACTTATAGTCAATAATAGTTCATTTATTTGATAACTCACTAAAGGATAACACTTGGTTCGAGTCAGAAATGGTACTGGAACCTTTTCCAAAGGTTTTTTGCCGCCCGGCCCACTATGGGCGTGGCGTACGAGGCTGATTGATATACAGCCATCCCTTTCACACATATGAACTCATGTGTGTCGGACAAGGATGGGTGTATTGCGTCAGGATGCTTTGTGTTTTTATAAGGTTTATGGAATTAATTGGATGGGTTTTGGTATATATATCGGCGTTATATACAAGTTATACAACATGTAACAGAGAAATATTAATAGTATATTTCTAATTCGATAGAAATATCAACATACAACATACAACCTTCCCAGGTCTGGTCATCAGATTTCTGTATCTGGTTCATGATCATTTGTAAATCTAATAGGCAAGCAGGTGATTAGCCTTCTGTGCCTGACACACGCCGTCGAATTTTTGGGTCTAAGGCAAGCCGGTTTCCTCACGATGTTTTCCTTCACTGTTCGAGCGAATGTTAAATGCGCACATAGAAAGAAAGTCCATCGGTCGGCCGGGGATCGAACCTACGACCTTAAGGATGAGAGTATCTCGCTAAGATACTAGGCCAACACTGCTCAGTATGGTTAATAAGGCGGTAAAATCTTAAGATTCTCTATATATAAAAATATTCTTTATTTATCTCGCTAAAACTCGAGAATGGCTGGACCGATTTGGATAATTATAATCTTAAATGATTTGTGGAAGTTCACGGAAGGTTTAACCTTTTGAAAACATAAATAATAAGTGAAGAAAAATACTAAAAACGACAAGTGAACTTTCCAAAAAATCAGTTCGTAACTGAGAAATTTTAGTCTTTTGAATTTTAGAAATAAATCACTTGGCTGGCATATATATATAGATTCAGAAATTTGTGTTTCATATCATAGTATGAGGTAATCACTTTTAGGTTTTTGAATATTGAATTAAGTTTTGACAGAAATATATGTACCTACGTGATACGAAGTTCATCTACTAATATAAAAATACATTTGAAAGTCATTACTGTATTAGTAACGTAAGCCCGAACGTTTGAACCCAACATTTTATACCATATTTTTATATTTTAAGTTTTAAAATGGCGGCTTAATTCAATTACTTATATATGTTTTATCTAATTTGATTTAAATACATATAACACAAATATAAAGCAAACAGTATTGGTTCGGTCGAAATATTTACGCGTAATTATTTATTTTTTGTAGCACAGGGGCAAAGGGGCAGAAGGCTCATCTGGTGTAAAGCGATATTGGACCCTCTCAATGGCAGAGGGCTCGCGAGTACGTAGCCGGTCTTTTAAGAATATAACAATATTGTTGAAGGACCCTAAGTCTGTTTTGTTCAGTAATTAACTGCAAAATATATGTAGTCTTACAAATATTAATTGCTTACAGTAGATTCGGAGATATTTGTTTTTAAACGATTTATATTAGTAGGTATATAAAAAAACTATATTCATATCCAAGATATTTAAAAAAAAGTCCAGCATGGAAAGCCTACTAGATAATAAGCCTATATATAAAGAAACGTATTTGACAGTGGAGGGCATTTTTTTTATTTCAGCCAATTGAAATCATACGAATTGATTTGTTGTCTATGCCATAGAAAACAGACAAACATTTGTATAACAAAATAGTCCAAGCCCAACTTTCAATTTCAACCAAAATAGCTGATAGACGATGACTATCCGCCATTTTGTGGTATCACCGTGACTTGAACTGTCGCAGTGCAGTGAAAGTGTTGTCATACAAATTTGAAAGTAATATTCCAATATTGCCACACTAATTAATGTTTAAGTGTAACTAATAATTATTTTCAGCAGTGTTGGCCTAGTGGCTTCAGCGTGCGACTCTCATCCTTGAGGTCATAGTTTCGATCCCCAACTGTGCTCCAATAGACTTTCTATGTGCGCATTTAACATTCGCTCGAACGGTGAAGGAAAACATCGTGAGGAAACCGGCTTGCCTGACACCCAAAAAGTCGACGGCGTGTTTCAGGCACAGAAGGCTGATCACCGACTTGCCTATTAAATTGACGATGGTAAAACAGATTCAGAAATCTGAGGACAAGACCTAAAAAAGGTTGTAGCGCCTCTGATTTATTATTTAAATTTATTTATTTTTAATAATTAAATGAAAATTAGTTCCATATAAATCAAAGTATCTTAATACTAAACGACAATGTTGCCATTACTAATTAAGAGCTAGAGTGTTGCCATTCGTCTCAAAGGTAAAAAACAGAAAATTCAATCTCTAAAAAAGTTTTTTGGAAATATACAAAAATACTTATGCAACTTTTATTGCGCAGGAGGTTAGAAATTCTGGTGTTTTGGGGGCTGTTCACCGAGAAGAAGCCGAGAAGAAGTTTCGGTATGAAGCGATGTGTTGGTAACAATTAGATTCAGGACAGAAGACTCACGCTATGGTAAGCCTAAGTTAATGGACTGTAAGTAGTATTATTGGACTACGAATAAATCCTTGTATCTTTTAAGTTGAGTCTTTGGGTTACAGAAAATAGCTGATAGGTGATGACGGGGCGGCCATATCGTGACGTCATGGTGACGTTGGCTACGCAACACGGTAGTTGACCTACGTAATACAACAATAATGTAAAATGTAAAGAATATCTGAAGATTTTTATTTCATAGACAAATAGATCAGCCATTTATCTGACGCATCGATATCGTTTACTTCTGGAAATGTGACAAAGCGACTTCAACACAGAAACTTGAAGATTTTAACAGAAGTAATCCCAAAATAATGATTGTCTTCTTAATATACATCTTTTTGTCCTAGGCGCGACGGACAGTCCCTTGTGAAGGCTGTTTCAGCGCAGAGGAACCAGACACCCTCGTAGTTCTGGAATGTGAGGCTGTGGCTACCCAACGAAGAGAAATCCTGTGCAGTGAGCTCGCTCCGTGAAGCCTGCGAAGTGCCCAGGAAACTTCTGAGCTTTTGGAAGGAGCTGGGCTGAGGAGCTGGTCCTCACTCCTACTACTACTGATACATTGATTTTTGGATTTGAGACATGCGTTACCACGATGTTTTCCTTCACCGTACGAGCGAGTGTAGACAGAAAGCTATCCCGACCTGATGCTGACCATCAAAGTATTCTTATACCTATCTATCTTCTATCACCATGATGTTCTAATACGTATGG